CTGAGCTGTTGGTGAAATCTGACAGCGATGAACACTATGGGACTGCCCTGGAGGCTGAGGAAGACCCTGGGGGGTGTTCAGAGTCAGAGCAGGGACTAGAGAGGCCCCTGTTGACCACCAGATGACGTCTGAGTCAGGGAGCAATGAGGTAGAACAGAGAGAGGCTGTCCCTGACGTACAAATGCATAAGGCTGAGGAAGAGGGAGCAGCTTTGGAAAAAGGCTCACAGAGGAAATAGGAACAGGTGGCTACCGATTGGCCCCTCCCAGAGAGCTTATAGGTGGGGCAACTGGAGGGGAATTTTGCAGGAAACAACAGTTTACTAATCCAGGCGTAGAGAAAGATTGGGAGAATGTCGAGCATTCAAGCCTTGCTTTCATAGAGATAATTTTCTGGGTCCTAGCCAAGCGGTTGCTTATCTCCCTCCTTAGTCGTGGCAGACAGCCAAGTCTGTGTCAGTATATATTAGAGGCTTGGAACAGGCTACAGAATCTTAAAACTGAATTCAACAGGGAGTATATTAAAGTAGGCCTCCCTATTACACGGGGGTCCTTTTTCTGTGTCTTGGTTTAATACGAAGGATACCAATAACAAATTTAATACTACAAAAAAGGCCCATCTGTTCTTGTTCTGCAGTATTTTGGAATGCAGAAAATTCCATCATGGTATAAGCAGTGGTAAGAAGATATGAGACATGCTTATTTTATTGAAGTTGCTTTGTAATACAAACGATAAAAGGCTTTGGATAAGAAATATTTTTGCTTTTATGTTTTCTTTCAAAAATTTCTTTATAATTTCATAAAGTAAAGCAAGAGTCAACAGATACATATACATATGCACATCATTTAAATATTGATCAGGGATAGTGAAGTGTAGCTAATCGCAGAACTGAAATATAAAATTCAATATTAACAATTGCTCTTATGTGATACTTTAGTATGGTCTCACTGACTGCAATGTATCTTTATGGATATACAGGTAGTCTGAAATTACAACAGTTCATTTAGTGACCATTCAGTTACAACAGCACTGAAAAGTGACTTATGACCATTTTTCACACTTACAACTGTTCCAGCATCCCCATGGTCACATGATCAAAATTCAGATGTGTGGCAAGTGGTTAATATATATGATGGCTGCATTGTCCCAGGGTCATGACTCCTGATAAGTAAAATAAGTGAGGAAGCTAGATTCACTTAACAACTGTGTTACTATCTTAATAACTGCAGCGATTCACTTAACTGTGGCAAGAGTGTCATAAAATGGGGCAAAATTCACTTAACAACTATCTTGCTTAGCAACAGAAATACTAGGCTCAATCGTGGTCAATTCCAGCACTACCTATATGTTTTTTGTTTTTTTTTTTGAGATCTGCTTGAAGCAGGCAAAAGGAAAATTTAGTAAATAAGTAAATCTTAAAACTGAAACAAGAACTAGAGAATGAAAATAATTACTTTCAAATTTAAGAGCTCTAAAATAGTTTTTAAAAATTAAAATAACATTAAACAAGACAAAATTGACATCATTGTATAGAGTTAAAGTAATAACTGATGGTAACTGGACTGTTGAAAACTACGCAGAATTTTTGTTGAAAAATAAAGCACCATGGAAACCTGGAAAACAGCATCGAAGAAGCTGACCCATTTTTAAATATCTTAGTAAAAAATTCAAAGGAGTTACAGGCCTTTATTTAAAATTAGTGAAATGTGGTAGTGAAATCATTTTTTTAAAGGAATCTAGGAACAACCTGTATAGATTTTATATCTATGTATGTATATGTATATGTACATACCTAACAGAGTTGAAATGGCTACAATATAAAATACTATACTGATCCATTTTGGCTATGGTTTTATGATCTGGCATGTTCAATTCCAGTTTAACTATAGTGGCATAAGATTAATTTCCTTACATTGCAGATTAAACCTCGTAGATGTTATTTTTTTTAAAAAGGATAAATCTTCTAGGCAATCAGTTTAATTTAAGATTGTTCTATTATTTACAAAATGGTCAAAACTTGAGTTTATTCATTTTAATTTGTACCTTGAAAATCTTTGATTCCTGAGAAGCTGGAGTAGCTCTTCCTTTTCGTCTGCTTTTTTCATAGATTATTGTGTAATAACTGAAGGTTTTTAACCATAGCATATACAATCTGTACAGAATCACAGCCAAGTCTTCTACTGTACCTGATAAACATTTTTGACACATATTCATGCTCTTAGAAGTGTGTATGAGTGTGTGTGTGTGTGCATGTATGTATGTATACACACACACACACACACACACAAACACATACATATACACACACAGACAATCTTGTTTATATTTTTTAAAGTGAATGCATGAATGCATATACTTGTGCAAACATACTTGTAAAAGCTTCCAAATTTCAAGATAAGTCAATTTTTTTTAAAATTATCTTCATGAACCACAGCTACAATTTTAAGGAAATCCTACATCAATACAGAATTGCTCTTCCTTTACATTGGAAAACTGAAAATTACTCCTGATTTATTAACTGCAGATTTTATAACGTGTGTCTAATTTTCTTATCTATTCATCTTATTTATATCTAGGAATTTTCAAACAGTAAATATATTGTATAAAATCAAATATGACTTTCCATTAAAAATAGAATTTTCACTTTCCAAGAGTCCCTGCTTAATATTAGAAAAACTGAAAAACTAAGCTCTCAAACAGCTCCACTGCTACTAAAGACAGAACTTTTAAGCTATCAATTATAGGTACATTTCACTTCACACTGGAAACTGTACTTAGTCATTAGTACAACAGGCGTGCATAAGTGTGTATTTTTCTGTCAGTGATCGTGTTATGAAGATGATTAACAGATAGTTGAACGAAATGCAGTTGTAGAGGTATAAAATCATCACCTTCTTGCTATGGATATACCTGCTGCAATTATTAATTCCTTTTGGATGAACTCATTTCAGTTTTTTGTAATTGCAATTTGCATATTTTAAAGTTTAACGGGGGAAATTTCTTCTATTAGTTACCATTTATAGCATAGGTTTTTCACAAAATATCAAAACTGCTGCAGGGCATTACAATTTAACAAAAACAAGTATTGTTTTCCAACTTTATGTAATTCATTATGCTCAAGTGGAGCATTTGGTTTCAGAAGTTTAGATTTTTAAACCTGAAATCATTTATATTAGATTATAAATGACAACATTCCTTGTTACTACTTTAAAAAATAAAAATGGGACAAACTTTATAAATGCAAATTGAGTGCCAATTGTTTGCAGAATACTGAAGAAAATACCAAATTCCTTTTCTGTTCAAGGAATTTAGATTTCAAAGAATGCAGTTTTGGACTCATGCATGCCTTCATTTTATTAATGCCTCTTGAACTCTTAGTAAAAAAATCTGCATCCTTGTAAGGACAAAGATTAAGAAAAATTGAAATCTCAAAACACAGTAAGGATGTAAGAATAGTCAATACAGAATAGATTTATAAATGCAGAAAAGTGATTTAACATGAACTACTGCATGCTTC